TAGCCAATTGATTACTTAACTTGTTAAGTAAAAGTTTTCTTAGGATAGAATCAAAAGCAGAAGTATAGTCCAGAAAAGCACATCGAACATACTTCTTACCCTTTTCCAAGCTAAATACTATATTGTGATGCAGAACAGCAACGGCATCTAAGGTGCTTCTTTTGCGTCTGCAAGCAAACTGACACGAATCAATGTGCTCTTTTATTGCAAATTGATGTTTTGAGGAAAGGTGAAGTTATTGCTATTGGTCTAAATTTCACATTCTTATCACCAGATACTTTCTTAGGTATAAGGATTATCTTTATCTTTCTCCACATTTTCGGTATGAGATTAGATCAGAAGGATCTGTTAAAGATATTCATGAATGGATAATATAAAACGTCAGGATACTTTTTAAAAAAGGAGGTTTAGGATACCATCAGGTCCTAAACATCGGGATGAATTAAGTGACTAAAAACATTTTCATACCACATGTCTCTTACACACTAAAGCAAATACCTGCTTTAAACATTGTTAACATTGATTGAATGATCTATTTTTGTTTAAAGTTCATCAGATAACCATGTACTTATTTATGTTCGAAAAGTTTGATGTTTTATTATATTTCTTTGAAAAAGCTTGGAACAGATTGCCAGGTGAAACATTGGATCAACTTCAAATTCATTCGCCTAGATTTTACAAATACATTCTACATCATTAATGTCTCACATCAACTGGACGCGCTAAATACTTTGAAACTATTCGATTAACTTTAGACAAAAGTTCCTAGATTCTCATTGAACATATGAATGCACATGTTAATATCATAACTTTCATAAAATACACATGGTATCATTGTATGACTAGCCAATACAATAAACAAAATCATCTAATCATCAACAGATTATTGAAACCAGATATATATAAACAAATAAATTGTTTTCATACGTATTACTAAGGCTAGAAACAACGATTTGGTTTTTTAAAAAATTATGTAGTCTACCCAATGTAAATTAATGAGACGTTTATTTTCTTGAAATATATAGAACATATGGCTTATCACATGACTGAAAACATTTCCCATTATATTACATAATCTACTGCTTTGTTGTAAGTGATGACCTGAATAGTTCACATGTGCTTTGTTTCTCGGATAGGCAAAAATAAAGGTAACAATATACACGTGAAGCAAATACATCTGAATATCAAGACGATTTTTAAACAAAATTTAATAATTAAGATCATGAACCGATTGGTGTTAGACAACCGTTGGAAGCCTGGAAGTACTAGACGGTCGTTTCGTCCTATTATGGGACACCTCAGAAGTGCACATCCACGATCTCGCTCGCGGGATTTGAATCCATGGTCTGCAGTCTCGCGCACGATCGTTTAATCTCTAGACCACTGAGCCGGCATCCAATGGTGTTAATGTCTAACTTCAACCAATCCACGAAATTGCACGATCATCTTCCATTGTACTGCGGTAGATACCTGTCGCTACCCAACACACATTAACTCTGCTGATCACGGCTTCTCACTAGAACTTCGAGAGTTCCCTCACAAATCTAGTCACTAGTGAACACATTTTAATTGCCAGTATGGGGGTTGTGGAGATTATTATGTTTTTGATTAAGATCATGAACCGACTAATGTTAAACCAGCGTTAGAAACCTGGAAGCACCGGACGGCCGTTTCATCCCATTGTGGGACTCCTCAGCACGACCTCGCTCGCGGGACCGAAGGTCCTAGGTTCGAATCCATAATAATAAAAAAATTGAATGATGAATTTTACTGCTACAATCTCCACGAAATCTCTTTCTGATATTAACGAGATTTCTTCAAACATTTCAAAGTTTTTTTCCTTGGTAAGTTTCATTTCTACTTTCTATAATACTGTTTACTACTCTAATACTAATGGATTATATAAGAATTTCAAATATTAAAGAGTCACCTATGATTCGAATTGAAATTCATATTTGTAGTTTATAAATGATTTTACAAGTTTAATCCAAGGACAACAATTTTTCGAGTACAATAAAGACTTCCATTTATCAGATTTATCTGATGCTTAAGCAAAAACATTTTCTTCATTTTCACTAAATGAAACTACTTATAAATCATATGAATAAGTAGTCTATTTGTTTCAGTTTAAGTATATAAATATGATTTTAAGTCCCATTCATAGATAATTAATTAGTTTTTGAACACATAAATGGGGTTTTAATTTCCGTATAGCCAAGGGTTCAATAAACCTTAGTATACATCCTTGTAGGTTTTTGTATAACACTACAAATGCTGATTTGATGTCAACCTTATGACCCGTTTCAATCAAATGTTTCGCAATGGAGGATGATGTCTGTCTTTCCTGTGATCTCATTTGACCATTGGAATTCATCTGATTCTGCAACCATTTCGGTATATGTTCACCCACCCTTAATTGCAAATCACGATTGCTCCTCCGTATGTACTTGTTTCCACACATACATGTAAATTGATAGACACAGTGGGATGTGACACAATCGCTTTCGTGCTGTTTGGGCTTTTGGTGAAACATAGATCTTGTCTTTTCAATAATGACAAGTTGGGCTGCATAAAGTGTCTGGTTAATAGCTAATTAAAATCTCCGTTTCAACATGAGACTATTCGTGTCGCCTCTGAATCGTAACGTAATATAAACTCGCTTTTTGGGTGCCGAAAGCGTCTTAGGTCTAGTCTTATTTCAGCCCTTTTAGCAGTTTATGAACTTCAAAGAATAACCATTATTCATTAACAAATCAGTCAAGAGCTCCGTCTCTACTTCAGTAGTATCACTAGTACAAATACGATTGATTCTATGGAATAAGCTCTTTATTAAACCGCGTTTGTAATGAATAGGGCAGTGACTATGAAAATTAAGATATTGTCCTGTCCATGTTAGCTTTCTATATATAGCACGTTGGATGGAACCATCATCTCTCCTACTAACTAATTAGTTGAGAATTTCTTGAAAATCTAAATTATCATCATCAAACCATAACTATTATTAGGTTGTTTAATCCTTGACCCTGGGTAAAGTTCCATTTTCCATATGTTTATTTTAAGTTGTTACGTCGGAAACGTTTATTATTTCTACTCGAGACGAGGGACCTCTGCAATCTCCACGACTCGAAAGTAAGAACATAAGACTGGTATAAGGGAAGATTTATTAACCCCCAAAACACATAGTATAATATTAAAAATAATTGCTAAATGATGAATGTAAACAGTTTCATTTTATCAGTATAGGGTTGTGAAGATTGTTGAGTTTTGATTGTGATCATGAAACGATCAATGCTTGACTACTATTGAAAACCTGGAAGCAAAGGTGATATGCTATTTCATCCTGGTATGGGATTCCCCAGCAGTGCACATGCACAATCTCTCACGTGGAATTCGTGAAATCGTAGTTTCATTTTAATTTGTATAACAATGCAAAAGTAATCTAAATTTGGTGTGTTGTGTATTTGAAACCGTTCAGGTCTTTGGCCTAGTAAAAATTGTATAGAACAATCTTCAATTCAAACGTCAAAACACTTCCAATTCACTGAGTTGGAATTTCGAGAACTACCACGACCATCATCAACAAGGTACATGTATTCATAAACAATCATCTACGCAAGATACTCAACATCCATTGACTGCATAACATCAGTAACAGCCTTCTGTGTGTGAGAACAAATCACCTTTCATATGAAGAGCAAATTATGAAAACATGATGATGGAAATGGATAGGATATACATTGTGGAAATCATCAAACTGCATCACGATACAAACCCTAACTTAAAATCTTGAATGGGATTGGAGAAGTTGAAGGCGAAACAACACATTACGTTGGGAAATAGAATCAGATATGAGAAAGATGAATAATAAATAGAAAGAGCTGGAAAGGATGGTTGAGGATAGGGTTTGATGGAGAATGCTGGTTGTTGGCCTATACTCCTTTACGAGGAGTAACAGTACGTAGTTATCAATTCATGATCATAGGTAATTTTGTGCTCAAATTACTTCATGTTTAACATCACTACCGTTTATTATACCTGACAAAATAGCTTGAATTTTACTCGTCTTCAATTTATCACTACATATATATATATTCATAATTAAGGAATTTGTCAATACGTAAATGATATCTGCATGTATGTATGTATCTAGGTAGGTAGGTAGGTAATATGTACTATATGTACTGTATGTATATATGTATGTATGTCAATGATCATATGAGTATATACACATATTCTAATGAAAAGGATATTTACGTTGCTATGCAACTCATTCGTTAACATTGATAAATATAACTTACCATGATCTAATATTATTTAAATAACCCCTATTATACACAGTTATTTATTTATTTGTTTATTTATTTTCATTTGATAAATCATTTAACAGTTTCAATGAAATTATCATTTTCCCCCAATCAAAATTCTATTTTGTTGTTGTTGTTGTTGAGTAGATCGAAATATTTAATTGACTAATATAAGTGTATATACATACATGTAGGGTTTTGTTACTATGGGATATATAAATTTTAGCCTTGTTTATTCTAATCATATGACTTTAAATATAATTTAAATACTGAAGTACCCCCCCCAAAAAAAATAATGACGTACCCTGTTTAAAATTCAAACAAGAAAAGAATAAATAGATTTTCTAATACTTGAATACGATTCATTCTATCTATCCATCTATGAAAATTCTTTATTATCATGTAGGATACTACTTATTATCGAAAAGAATATTACATCATATTATGGTATAATATTGTGGAATATATACAACTATATATATATGTGTAAATTCTTTTTATTTTCTAATGTTTACCCATTCCGAAAGAAAGAAAAAACGACAAAAAAAAATCCCAGAATTTCAATGAATCCACGTACACTTGGTAACATGTATAACTATGTGACTCTTATTGTCACTCTTAAATTCTTCATGACTACTTAATCGTTATAGTAATAATAATAATAATAATAATAATTAAAGTAATTATGACATTAAAATGATAGAGAAAACAAAACAGAATAATACACCATATACATATCATCATCATCGTCAGCAGCAGCAGGAGCATCAATCTATGAGTATTACACCAGATTCTATTTATAATTCACCTACTAATATATTACCAATAATTAAAACAATGTATTTTTATGATGGTCACAATAATAATAATCATAATCATATAAATAATCCATCAAATGAATTACATTTAACTGTACAATCAAATATACATCGAAGTTTAGAAGCATTATTAAATGAATTCACTAATCCATTACCACCATCATATAATGATACCCAAATGGTATATACATATCAAACAATGAATAAAGTAAAATCAATGAATGATTTACAACTAAATAATCGCTATGATAATACATTGAGAAATCGTAAGCTAAATAATAAATTAGATAAAAGAGTTGACAACAAGCCATCATTTCTATTATCATCATCATCATCATTATTATCATCATCATCATCGCCAAAGCTATACCATTCATCGTTACATTGTTCAAAGATAGAATTAAATAATAATTATAAAAGTACATTGAATCAGTCAACAAATTGTATTGTATTACCAACAATTGATACATTGATTATAGATTCAAATAATAATAATAATAATAATAGACGGCAACAATTAAAACAAGTGAAGCGTATTTATGTACATTTAAATAAACAATTTAATATCATTAAACCAGTATTAATTAAAAGTAAATATATTAAAACCATTGATAATATATTACAAGAATTAAGTGAATTATTTCAATTGCCCATACATAAATTATATACATTAGATGGTAAATTAGTAAGTGACATTATAATTGATTTATATATATATTATTATATCATTATTACATAATCTAACTATTTGTTAAGCATTAGTATTTACTTAGTTATGCTTATTACTCCTCGTGAAGAAGTATAAGCCAACCACTAGCATTCTCCATCAAACCCTATCCTCAACCATCCCTTCCAGCTCTTTCCATTTATTATTCATCTTTCTCATATCTGATTCTATTTCCCAACGTAATGTGTTGTTTCGCCTTCAACTTCTCCAATTCCCTTCAAGATTTTAAGTTAGGGCTTGTATCGTGATGCAGTTTGATGATTTCCACAATGTATATCCTATCCATTTCCATCATCATGTTTTCATAATTTGCTCTTCATCTGAAAGGTGATTTGTTCTCACACACAGAAGGCTGTTACTGATGTTATGCAGTCAATGGATGTTGAGTATCTTGCGTAGATGATTGTTTATGAATACATGTACCTTGTTGATGATGGTCGTGGTAGTTCTCGAAATTCCAACTCAGTGAATTGGAAGTGTTTTGACGTTTGTATTGAAGATTGTAACTTTGATGTTGGTTGACGTACAGTTGTTTTGAGTTCCATATATATTTCCATTGTAAGAATTCTGTCCTTACTTTACCAATCCTCGCCTTTACGTCTCCTTGTTCATCGATGATGCAAGTATTACTAGTCGATCCTGTATTCGAATCTTACAAAATGTGATCGTGGATAGGCGCAGTGCTGAGGAGTTCCATACTAGGACGAAACGGCCTTCCACTGCTTACAAGTTTTTCATAGTGGTCTAGCTTTAATTAACTCATAAATTCAACCATTAAATTATTCTGATGTCACTTAAATACTCAGTTAGTAATAATCACCAACGATTCTATGATATTTATGGTCAATATAGCTTCAGTTAACATTCACATCATATAAGCATCGAGATATATACATCCAACTATTTCAAGTCTTTTCTTTTTGTATAATATGTATGTTGACAATAGATATTCGTAACATTGTTTTCGTCCATAGTACTGGTGTTCAAATGTGAATTGTCTCTTACCATTTATCAAATTGTTATTTATTATTACCAAACACATCCTATTTATACTTTATAAAAACGAATTGCCGTAAAATTGTCAAATCCAGTTCATATAAACAGTGATATATTTCTGTGTCCCAAAGAAAATTGTTTAATATTCTATTTTAATGAATATGATGAATGGTGAAATTGGAATGATATGGGAATCTACAGTATATTTATAAGTTTATAAAGTTTAGAAGTAATATTCAACGGAATACTGAAATAATAATAATAATAATATTTGCTAAGGGACTCAATTATTGATATGTAGATTATTCTGTCATTAATATCAGAAGGGGGTTTTGTGGATATTATAGTAATTTTAATGGTTGAGATCATGAGTCGATTGAAGATAGACCACCATGGGAAACACGGGAGCACTGAATCGCCGTTTCGTCCTAGTATGGGACTTCTCAGTAGTGCGCGCATCCACAATCTCGACACGCAAGTTTTGAGCACAGTACCTGTCCGTCTCGAGCGCAAACGCTTAACCACTAAACCACTGAACCGGTCGAGATCCAACGGTGTTAATGTCTAACTTCAACTAATCCACGAAATTGTGTGACACATCCACCATTGTCATCAATGAGTTACTATCTGCTATGCTAGTTCTGAGGTATACAGTGGCCTCCAAATGCCCTAGTACGATGGAAGCTGGGGAGGAGTTAACTCTGCCTCTCGAAATGCTCTTACATGGCCACATGCATACAACCGTTGCCAGGGAAGTGCTACTCACTGCCTCCTCATGATGGTGGTGTTGTCCACAAAATTAAGGGGACGAAAAGCGAATGTCCGGTGCTTAAACCAGGTTGGAGGATATGTAGGATCTACCTAGGAGAGTTGGAAAACCCTGGTTCCAAAACAATGGTGCACATGGGCTCCAGTATCCTGAAGGAACAAATGGCCTATCAATCAATTATTGGTCACCGGTCACCATGGCACTACATCTCCTGACGTTGCTCCACTACCTAGTGGATCAGACCTCTAGGCCGAAGGCTCTGAGTGTGGCTCTCTAAGGAAACCACCTGATTCGGTCTGTGCACGTGGACAGTATTATAACCCACACAAAAATCAAGCGACTTTTGTGAAGCATATGTATTCGGTGCCCCTTCGTATCAATATTTGTGTATTCAGAACAATAAATCAATAAATTTACTTATCACTGTTCTTTAGACCTTATGAATAATTTTGCTTGTTAGAAGAACCTATCTGTTAATATGCACATTGGTTTAATGTAATAAAATTGCTGTAAACTACTGTGAGTTGACCATACTTTTATAAAACAATTATCTACTGAATATTTTTCATTCATAGCTGATATTTAGCTGTATTTATTAAAACAACAAATTAAAATTATGAACAGAAGGGGGTTTTGGTGAATATTATAGTAGTTTAATAGTTGAATTGATGTGTCAATTAAAGCTAGGACACCATGGAAAACCTGGGCAGCCATTTCATCCTCATACGGAACTTGTGAGTAGTACGCATCCACCGTTGGATGCCAACCCTGTTGTCTATAGGTTAATCGTTCGTGCGCGAGAACGATAATTCCCGGCTTCGAATCCTGTGTGCGATTTTGTGGATATGCATTACTAAGGAGTTTCATACTAGGATGAAATAGCCGTCCAATACTTCCACTGTAATGAACAAGAACACAATTGGGAACAATCTAACGTATCATTTACCTTCACTGAATTCTTTGGATAATTAGAACTTAATTAACTAATCAGCAATACATTTCACTAAAACAAACCTATAACTTGTATAGGTATTTAATATTAGTTATATAATTGATAACATTGATCAATTTCAATGTTATCAATTAAATATTCATGTAATTTTTATGAAAGGAATGCCGTAATAATACGAAAAAAAGTAAAAGAAAAAAAAAACGGTTGTCTCTATGCATGATTGTAGTATTCCCTTTCAAATGGTCATTTTATACATCAATGTTAAAGGCAATAAAAATGATACTTTTTTCTTTTCTATGTTAATATTAATATGTATATGTAAAATGTACTAAAATGTATCTGGAATCAATTTCTCCTTTCTCTTTTTTTTTAAATCACTGATCCATAAAAGGAGGAACATTTTTTGTTTGATCATATGGTTGAATATATTTAGTTAAATAGGCAAATTACTAATGTCTATTAATCATTAATACAAGTTCTATAATACCCTCCTTTTCTGATAATAATAATAATAATAATCATGTATTCCCTAATAACTAGTTTGAAGAGGTGTTTCCTGGAGTTCTAGTGAGAAACTGTGATCAGTAGAGTTCAACTGTGTCTAGTGTGAGGCGGTAAATTATTGAAAACAATAGTGGATAGTAGCTTGGTTTCGTGGATTGGTTGAAATTAAACATTGACATTGTTGGATACCGGTTCAGTAGTCTACGCGCGAGATCGAGAATCCTAGGTTCGAGTGCTGTGTGCTGGATTGTGGTTACGCACTGATGAAGAGTCCCATACTGGAGTAAACGGCTGTCCAGTGCTTCCGTGTTTTCTATGGTGATCTAGCTTTAATTAACTCATGAAGTAAACTATTAAATTACTATAACCTCTACAAACCTCTCTCCTTTTTATGATATTAATCATTTGTTATTGATAAAAACGTATAGTCTATCCTTCGTATTTGATTAAAACAAGTTTCACGTTGTATAACGTTGATTAATAAAGTACAATAACTGGTATAATATTAGTTTCTCTTCACAGAAGTCAAACTGATCGACAAGTAACTACTACTTAATTTGAGTTGGAATATAGTAAGAATATGTAAAAACCGTAAATAGGATTTAGAAATATGTTGATAAAGATAGAACAGATAGGATGTTGCTGGCAATAGAGTCTAGGATGTACGTTTCATCGTATTTTGGAAGTGTCAACTGTATGTACATGCATTCTAGAGTTAATGTTCATTTGCCGACTCGAACCCATTACTGTTCGCTTTAAATGCTATCGGATTATCCACTTAACCACTGACTTCACAAACCATCTATTTTCAGTCAAGTTATTAACAGTAAAATATTTTAATTCATTACTAAATGAATTGTGTTGGCGAATATATACACCTAGTAGTTTCGTATAAAAACATATAATTTGTCATTTGATCACGTTTAATTTACTAGTGTGAATGAAAGCATTACAGCAATGCATATATGTATATATTAGCATATTTTTACCCACATTTGAAGACTAATCTAAGCCTCCGGCATCACTATTGACTCTTCTTGATAATTATCAGAAGGGGTTTTGTGGAGATTTCAGAAATTTCACTGATTGAAATCATGAGTCGATTGAAGCTAGACAACCATGGAAAACCTGGAAACACTGGACAGCCGTCTCGTCCTAGTATGGGACTCCTCGGCAGTGCACATCCACGATCCCGCACCCCGCGAAATTCGAACCCAGGACCTATCAGTCTCGCGATAGACGCTTAACCAACTAGACCACTGAGCCAGCGTCCAACGGTGTTAATGTCTAACTTCAACCGTCTAGTGCTTCCAGGTTTTCCATGGTGGTCTAGCTTCAATTGACTCATGATTTCAATCTTCTTGATAAGTTAACTATGTTACATAGACATCCTTATTTAGTTTGGATATTTTGTTAGTAAAATACTTTGTTTTTTAACTTTACAAAATCGTTCACTCTTTTGTTTACATAGATCTATTAGTTAACAGTAAACTTTGTATATAGTCAATGTAAATTTACCATACCAGTCAATGTATACAAGCCAGTTCTACTTCGGTTTTCATTTTTGAATATTTGCCACTACTGAAATTTCTTCACAATAACATCTAGATATATTTTTCAATGTCAATGACATCAATAAACTATTCAATTCATTCCATAAATTTCCCTATTTCTTTCTTGAATTCAAGACATAATTCAAGTACTTGATCACTAGTTCATTTCAAACATGACCTAAAT